TGCAGGCGTTTGCTATCGTTGAAAGCAATGTTAATTGTTATGTGAAGATTGTCCTGCATGCCTAAACGGTTACTGAAGTCAGGGAGAACAATTTTTACATAGTAGATTAGGTCCTTAACGTCAAAAAACTGGCAAAGCTGCCGTAGGATCCCGTCGGTGAGCAGAGGGAAAATTATGATTATGTTTTCTTTTACTCAGGAGCTTCCTCCCACCTTGGGATGGGAAGCAACTTTTTGTTCCTGGCTCAGTTCTGAAGTTACGATGAACCCCAGACAGTATCTTTCCTTCCTGATCGTTGGAAATTCAGGCAAAAGAGTATCTTTCCTTCCTGATCGTTGGAAATTCAGGCAAAAGTGACTTTTTGACGTAAATTGGAACCAGTATTCACGAAATGCATTTGACCAGGATCAGATTCACTGTTCGTTCTTCTTTGAAGACCCTTTGTTCCAGAAGACTGTAGCTTCTCAGCTTCATTTCGACTATGTCGCGATCGGGTCTCCAACACAGCAGTTTTGAAATGCTCGAATTTTTTTTTGCAATCACATGAGGGAATAAGGGTAAGACATTCGATTAAAAGACAGTACCCTCGGTTGACTAGCATTCGGATGAAATCTCTCATCAGGGGATAAAACGACTTTGCAATCTCCTAGGCAGATTACGGAGAAGATTCGAGAGGGGCACAACTAATAGGAAGTTTTGCCAGCTGTGAAATTAATAATAATCAAAATTTGGCTATCGTTAATGTGAGATTTTCTTTGATGGTTGGTCTGTGCATTAACCTATTGAAGCCTCAACCGCTTCAAAACTCAGAAGTTTCGTTAGTACCAGTTGTTTATGTAGAAGATTTCACTGAAAAAAAAGTGAAGGATTTAAATCAAAAGGTTGTAAAGCCTTGGTTTTCAGCACTAGTAAGTAAGGCGGAGGTTGGGGAAGGGGTTGAAAGATAAGAGAGGGTTCTTGTAAAACAGCTAAGATATTATAACTCTTTATTCGATCAGAGTTTCGGCGTTGTCGCCCTCCCCAGAGCCTGGAATCCAAGAAGTACTTGAGATCTATCCCTGTCAAACACCATTTCAGACTTGAGCTTAGCTCAAGTTATAAGTTTACTTATTTGCTATTCACGGTTCATCTTCGTGAACGCCCACGGAATTCACTTAAATGGAGCCAAAATTAATCAAGTTTCCTCTTGAGTCTACCAAATGCTTATTCTCGAGACGGATAGATTCATTTGAGCACAGACTTAACTTACAATTACGAGAGAATTCAAGATAGTCGGGGCTATCTTTTTGTGTCTGAGCAGATAATGACAGGAACGGAAAGTATCTGANNNGGACGAATCCTACGATAAATGTAGGTGAATAATTGAGATGATGAGCGGGTTCTTGAAAAATGTCCAGAAACATGTAGGGCCCTTCTATGGGCCTTTTTGCATACTGGATGAAACTTACCCAAAGAGTGATGATGGGAAAATAGTTGAAAGGATTACTGTCAGTAGTCGATGAAAATATTGGCGACCTAGTTTGAATTTATCTGTACATCTCCATACTTTTGTACAAATAAAAAAGTAGCTGTTGTTGTCTCCTACAATATAATGATACCTCAACAACATATCGAAAAACAACAGTGTTCCTTGGCTGAAAAATTTTCGAGGGAATTCTTGGGGAGGGATATGTACTGTACAATGTGAATTGAAGATGAGCATACGATGTTTCAGTTAACGATGTCGAGGGCATGCTGGAACAAAATGCTCAGAAGAAGAGTCGATCACCATCGTTGGCTTCATTGCGAAACGGCAGTATATCGCCAAGTCGAACTGGTAAGTTGACAGGCTTATCGTCAAAAGCGACTGCGCTCAGCTGCTCTTTTGTATATAACTACTATTCCGTAGATATCAAAAACATTTATCCATTCACCTTGTAAGGTAACCTGTTTTCCTCTACCATCTAGTATTACCTGAAGGGGAACGGCATGACCACTTTAAAGAGCTGGAGCTGCGTATCTTTCTTGTTTTCCCTTTTCTTCGACTGGGGCTTTAAATCTCGTGAATTTCACTTATTTCCATTTTTGTCTTTACCAATCTAAACCCCTTTTTCTCTCGAGTTAAATGTTTACTCTACACATAACTCATCTGAGACTCAGCCTTTCAATTGCAGATTCATCCGAACCGCTTCCATACAGAGTGCGACGTCATACCGCAACAGCTGATGAAATGCTCTATCCGGCAGAAACAGCGGAACCGACATCTCCTAAGGAACCCGAAGCGCCAAAGCCAGAGCTACCTGTAGAAGAAGAGAAGAAGGAGAAAAAGCAAAGAGTGTAGGTTTCCCAAGGAAGTCACCAGCGCTATCACCGCTGAAGGTCTGAACATCACTGGCTCCACAATTGCCAAGTTAGGCTGATGCATGAGTTTTTGCCATATGCTGGCTAAGAAAGCGGAGAAAAAATGCTTTATTCCTCTCAGCACACACTCATCTGCACCCGACACCAACTGATACTTGTTGAAAACACAATCTATTCAGACGATTTTACCTCACAGTATAGGACAGGCAGTTGTCATTAGGAAAACTAGTAGGAGATGACGCTCAGGGTCAAGGATGGCGTAGACGAAACGCTTCTCCTCTCTACCATTGCCCAACATCGTTGTTTGGCGGAGTCAAATTCTAATCCAAATTGGGAGGAAGAGGTAGAGCTCTTCTGGTCTTCCTGGAGATAACCGTTGCCGCTGCTTATCTGACTCCAGTACAAGAATGTTCTAGCCAGTTTCTGATTACAATATTCTTGTGCCGTGCGAGGTTGTTAGGTGGAACTTTTATTAGTCACAATGGCCTAACGTTTCGACGTTCTCGTCGTCTTCAGAGGCTAATGTTCCATCGCTCAAGCGGAATGAAATCCGCTGTCGCCACAAGCAACTGTCAGTAGCGAATCGCTTTTCGAAACCGAAACAGAAAGAGAGGGAGGAAAGAGCTCGAAAAATGATTCGTTACGCTTCTTATTCAGAGGAATCATGTTAATACGCTAGTCCCGCAGCCTCTGTTGACGGAGCTGCCTCGACTTTATAAGAGTCACAAGTATTTCCCTTATTTTATCATTCATTGTCATTCTTAGCAACGATTTCATACCATTCTTTCGCCATCTCGCCATTAAGACGACTTTCTAACATATTCCCTTTTTCTGAGCGAGCGGATGAGAGGATGTATTGCACAATCTTTCTTTGACAACGCAAAGTCAGCCCAGAGTTATTAGTTTTTCTAAGTGTCAAGGAATTCTATCATATTGTTCTGCAGTGCTCTTCCAGAAGTATTGGAGTTCAGTGATTTTCCTGGGTGGTTTTCCTGCCATTTCGCAGTCATCAAAAAGCCCAGCGATACACTCTTCACGAGAAAAAGCTAGTTTTACTGCTATCCGTGGAAAACTCAGTCGAATTGATAGAAAAGTCATATCAAATGATTAACTTTGAATGAATTGTGTTTTCAACAAAGTTTGCATGCCTGCACGTTAATAACGCTTTCTAACATCGCGAATGTGCTTTAGTTGTGCCAGATTGTGTTGTAGTAGCTAGTGTTTTTGGGTTCAGTGATGCTGCTTCGCTGCTTCTGCTACCGTCATCATCAAATATGTCACAAACGACGACTTCATCGACGGGATTCCGAAGGCATTCGAAGTTCCGCAATACGATTGCGAATTTGCCGCCGAGACCAATACGAAATGGTCAACTCCCTTCGAGGCCGACGACATTAATGTGTCAAGGGTCTGGACATGTTGTTATTGCTCTTGTTTTACTCTTAGACACCTCTATCATAACTTACATTCAAACTTACAAGGTGTGGCAAAAGTGTTGATAAGGGCAGAGACGGAGCAAGAAACACAAAGAAAACAACACGATTTACTTGGGTAGACAGAAATCTCACTCCATTTTCACGAAAGAACCAAACAATTTTCTCTTGGTGAAAATAGAGTGGAGATTGGAACTTTGACGGGAGATTCTCATATTCATTCATCGCTTTAACTGGATGAGATCATCTTCGACAGGAGCATATCTTTGTGGTTGGCCGGAAAAGGCGTCTACGGTCTGAGAGACTACTAGTTGTTCAACTCACCCCGAACTTCCATTTTAACTGTCTTCGGCAAGTTTATCGAGCACAGTAACACATAGTTTCTGCTGACATCCTTCGGAGGAAAAGCTTCAGGAAATTTAACTGGACTGTCTGGAAGTCATTGCTGCTCGGTGATGAAGTCGTGCTGACCACGTACTACATTGAACGAGTTCAAGGTGAAAAGGTCGAGTTTTGCGGGTTGTGATCACAATGTGATTTACTCTAGGTGTGAGAATCACTCTCAAGGACTTGATGGAATCTGTGCTTATTGGTCTTGACTTTCATCAGAAAAGCAAACAGGAGAGTTTTCGTCGAAGTAGGTACCGAAAACCAACAGGATTACCAGATTGGCGCTTTACAAGATGCTCTTTCTGCACGGTTCTCTCGACTGAACATTGACTGCACCCAAGTTTTTGTACCATTTGTATCGTCGCACGCATTGCATTGTTCTTCTGTGATTCTTCACGACAACACCCTTTGACATTGCAGTTGTTGGACGACCAGAGCGAAGCGATCAATCACGGTTTTTCTAGCTGATTTGAAGTATTGCGTGGAGCAACCGACAGTTCTAGGCAACACAAACAGTATCTTTGCAATAT